TGGAGGCTACACAACTGTAATAACACTCTCCCTGATTTTGCCTGTGCATCTCTTCACCTGGCTGATTTTAAATCTGTGTTCTTCCCCTAAAATAAGACACAACTGCAAGTATGTAAGGATAACAGTTTTCAGTGAGCTCTGTGCATTTTCCTAGTTATTTTTCAAAACTGAGGATGGACTTGGGAAATCCTAAGTCCATAATTGGCAATTGGTGTTAGAAGTGAGGAGAATCCTGTGGATTGGGCCTCTTATCTTCACAAAAAGTGTTTCACATAATCCAGCAAGCAGAGACCCCGTTTAATGAAATTGTACTACATGAAACTGAATGCATGTCAAAAGCATGACTGACATGGATCCTTAATATGAATCATGAAAGTAGTACTGAACTAACTGTCTAACTACCAAGAGTGGTCATAGGAGGTAGGGAGATTTCCTTAGAGCTGTTGTTCCTACCCAACTAGTTATTAGACGAAAGAGGAAATGCTAGGTCAGAGAAGATACTGCAGGACACTATTCTTGTATCTAACCTGTGCACATGTTTGTTTACTGACTGAGGTATCCACCTGGGGGGTTGAGAAGCCTGCTCATCTCCACCATTCCATGTTGTAAAACTATGAATAACTAAAAAGGATAAACATGCATAGATTATAAAATATTGCTTCATAGAGGGAAACCTGACCCTCAGCCAAGCCCAAAGGACTTAGATGAATTGTAAAACAAAACAAAACATAAAAATGTGAAGTTTTGTCTACCAGTTTGATGTCTATTAGAAGGTATAGTTTGATGTAAGAGTACTGTATTGCTATTTTGCAATTGGGATTTATTCAAAATTAAAAGTGAGTTCATTTGAAAAATCATGTCTTCTAAGAATTACAAATTATTCCACACCTTATAATTAAGCTAAAGTTTCAAATTTATATATACACAAAAGTGTTTATGTAACACAAATATTTGAAAATAAGTTTAATAAATTACTAATAGTATTTAGTTTATGATATAAACTACAGTTTACATTTGTTAGAGTTGCATAAATATCTTGGTAAAAGAATATACACTTACATAAAAAATTTAAAAACACTTCAGTAAAATTATCTTGCTTGCATGACAGAATATGCATATGCAGCAGTCTTTGGTAGGTCAACAGTTTACTTTGGGGATAGTAGGGTAATTCAAATACTGCATCAATAAAGGATAAGGCATTAGTATTGTAAGAGATGTTAAGGAAAAATGTTGAAAAACATCTATTAAAATATATAGATTTTAGATATGTATAATTAACTCAAGCAATGTATATTCAACCAGTTCACTGCCTAAAAATCCAGTGACAGTGATTTCTGATCCTTGTTTCTATACAACAAGGTAAAGTTGTGCTCAGTGTTCATGATACATGGCGATAAGTGTAGAAGCATACCAGTGAAAGTCATGTCAGCTGATTATCCAAAAACCCCAGACTATCTAGGTTGAGGGAGGAAACTTGGTACTCAAGGAACCTTCAGGAGGAAAATAATTGAAAATCCATTGTCAATGTGCACAGTATTTGAGTGTCCTCTAGTTGTGCTATCTCCTGTGCTTCAGAGGAAGCAAAAGCTGTTGTGGATGGTATCTGATCAAAATAGCAAATTATCTGAAGTACCATATACCCTTTCTACCAGTCTTCAGTGGCAGGGAGATAGGGTGAACAGTTTGTATTTGCACATTCAGGAATTTTTCAAATAAAATGATTTTTTACTCTCGATAAAAGCAAGATATGTATGAATTCCTGTGATGCTAGAGACTGCAGCTACTTTCCCTTGGCTTCCAAAAGTTATTTTAATTTATTTAGGAGGTCACAACCAGGTACAATACTTTTTTCTGCCTGGACATAGCAGATTTCGCAATGTTCCCATACTTACAGATATGTTATGAATGACAGTGGAATGATGAGGGTGGTTGAAGAATAGCTCACCAAACACCTTCAAGGCAACTCGTGAAGAAATGTGACCCGATATACCAACAGAGTTCTAAATTCACTGCATTTCAGCAGTAGGCTTGGGAAAGGGGGTGGATTAAATTTCACCTGGGTGTGGGAGACACTGTTGTTTAACATAATAGTAGAGAAATAACTGTTTATTATTGATGGCTGTTGACACTCTTTCAGCAGCAGGCAAAGCTGAGCACTTCTCCAACCTGCTGCCTTATCTCTGTGAAGCAGCAGCCCTGAGAACATAGCTCACTCCATCTGTGTTACATCCTCTGATCTCAGCAGCTGAGGAACAGCAGGTGATAGACTCCTAACCTCTAGGGAGCTGGAGGGATCAGACAGCAAAAAAAATAAATACTCACCACAAAGAACCCACTGCACCACCACTGTTTACCTCCCTAGAGCTCTTTGGAAATCACATATTATCAGTTTAAAATCATACACCTTAACTTACCTGATGTTTGAAGCTATTGTTTGAAGCTTTTGTAGTATTTGGCTAGTAGCCTGAATGTTCGTGGTGTATGGATTCCAAATGTGAATATTGTGATGGCTTCATTTCACTTATTGGACAATGCCTGTTATTAACCTATGGCATTTTGCACAATTTGCCCTGAGTAAGTAAGAATGGAGTTTACGAAATGTTACTATTTTGTAAATAGTAAAAGAAAGAACTTTCAACAAATTCTGTTTTTAAATTACACATTCTTTTTGTTCAGTTTTCATTGTTACTTCAGTAAGATTTTTTTTCCCTATTGTTTGCTCTGTTTAATGAAAAAGAAGAGCAGGAAAACAGGTGTTTTCACTTCACACTTGGATGATCAAGCATTCAAGCTGGAGCAGGGAGAGAGGAAACAGGATCTCATAGAATTGATGAGTGATCTATATAATTCTCTCAACTATTCATTTTACTGATGTTTATGTGGCATATAAATACGCTGAATGTTTTTAAAGGAATGCAGATTGCTTTTATGTGATATAAAGATTATTTTATCCAAGTCAAGAAAAATTGTTGAGTAAATGAAAGAGAGAAAGACTAGTGATGAACTATAAGTTGGTGAAAGTGCGTAGAGGATGTAAAAGCATTGACTGTGAATGTGACTTGTCCAGCCCTTTTCCAAACGGAGTATGCACCTGCCACGGGCTTTCCTTCATGTACTAGCTATGAAACTGTGAGAAAGAAAAAGTAACTTATTTTCCTCATCCATTGCTAGGTTCATGACTAAGACCCCTATAACAAGAGAGGTTAACAAGAGAAGAGCATAGAAATGTATTCAATGTAATTTTATGTCATAGGGGAGACTTTAGAAACTAAAACCTGAAGATACAGGGAAAACCATATATTGGATGTTTAGTCTGATGAAGATGTGGACAATTCAGAGAAACAGGAATGGACTCTAGGGTGTGTGATCAAATGGGAATGAATTGGGGAAGATCTTAGCCCTGTTGGCTCAGATTCTTCTTGGTGCTCCCCATGGCATTCCTCTCCCCCTAGGTATAAAGGGAGGACTTTTCTAGAATAAAGGTTTTATGACTTATTTCCAAGGGTTGGTCAGGTAGACTGGGTGATCTGCTCAGGAGAGAGGAGAGTGGGCGAAGGTCAGAGAGTGTAAGGGTAAAAAAAAATTGAAGTTAAAGTGTAAAAGACCGGGCATTGTAAAGTTTCTAAGCTGCAAGGCCTGAGTTAAAAAGTAAAGGACCAGGTATTGTTAAGTTCCTATGCTACACGCAAAACCTGAAATTCCTGTAGCTGTTAGGACAATACCGGAACTGCCCAGTAAATATTCCCCCGACCATCTGGTTGTTTAATAACCTAGGACCCTGTGTGGCCTGGCATGTAGGCATCGCAGGGCCTAAACCAATCAGTTTGAATGTACCTCCCTCCTTAGAACTCACCTATCACTCCCACCCGAGCTGTTCCCACCAATGAATGTGCTAATCAAATTTGAGAATTGTTGTTTGATTTTCCCACGGTGTATAATGATTTGTTAAAGGAGACTGTGGTGTATGTAAAGTCCCCGCCCTCCCCAAAAAGTGTACTTAAGCACTGCTCAACCCCTGCTCTGGGCTCTGGGCTGCTCTCCCTTCTTGAGTGAGCACGGAGCCCCAGCACGCTGGATTGGATCCTCAATAAACCCCTTTTGCTGTTGCATGAGCCGCGGTCTCTTGGTGGTCTCTTCCTCCAACATTCCCTGGACCCTTACATTTGGTGCATTGGCCAGGAATCACGCAGCGCCGGACAAGGAGACCCCAACGGACCCATCTGAGGTAAGTAAGGTGCCTCTTTCCTTTTTTTTCTTGCGATCCCTCAGAGCTTTTTGTTCAGGTTCGGTTTTTCGGTTTTCAGTTTGGGTTGGCAGAGTGGCTGCCAGCGGAGAGCGTAAGTTCCCCCTGGCGGTGGTGGACAGACGTGTCCTGAAGCCACAGGCCACGTCCTTGCAAGGGACGCCTTGGAGGACTCGGGGAGGGACGGGTGTGCCCTCATCAGGCAGAGGGACAGATGTGCCCTCATCAGGTGACTCTGCTGCCAACCCGTCAGGTCTTGCCGGCTACTTTTTTCTCAGGTTGAGTTCACTGTCTGTCTTTGGTTTTGCCAGTTACCAGGTTCTAATCTTTACTTCTGAACTCGTGTTAAACATTAACTGTGTGTCCGTGTTTGTGTCACGTTTGTATTGTCCTTGTCTCTGTTTGAGTAACTCCCAGTATGGGACAAAGCCATTCCACGCCTCTGTCCCTGAAGCCTTTCCTGGTCCCTGCCTCCACTCCGACCCCTTCCCCCACGAACCTATCACTCAAACCTTCTGCTCCTCCCCCTCTTCCCTCCATTCTCCCTGAGTCACAAGATTGTAGATCTTGGGGTTGTGAAAAAACGGGAGCTGCATGATGGTCTTTGTGTGTCCTTTTGTCTGTGTTTCTGTTAAATGTGATGGCATTGTTTGGACCGATGCAGACTCCCAAGTTCCAACCTGCCTTAGATGTGTGGAATTAACTTTAGCTAAATTTTAACCTAATGTTTCTCCTGTGAGGGACCAAAAATCAATAGAACCGCCAGCTTTTCTGTTCTCACCTTTTACACCTCTCTTAGCTGTGTTTTAAAGAACTTTGATAAACTTTACCCCCCTTTGTTAAGCGAGATTAGGGAAGCAGTGTTTTCTTTTCTTCCCGTAGTTGGCTTGAGCACGCCCACTGCAGAGGGAAATGCCTGGGGTCTAAGAACTTTGATATCTCGCTTAAACTTTTCTCAAAACCCTGTCCTCGTTATTAAATTGGCATTAATTGGCTTTGGGGATGGGAACCAAACTTTCAGTCATAAATTTTGACACCCCAGAGGGGACTTTAAAGGAGTCCCCACTCTGCCATCTTGGGGAAGCCTAGCACTCGAAACAACTGCAAGCAGAGGATGAACTTTTTGGGAGCTGACTACTGAAAATTTGGGAGATATAGAAAATGCCTGGTGCCTGGGGTCAAACCAAACCAGAGGAACTAATCCTGTAAGTAAAAGGTGAGGCTAAGGGACTCCCAGCAGCTGCCAGAGCCATTTTGCTTTGGGGAACTCCCTCATTCCTTACTTACACTTTAAGTATTACTCCACCTCTGTTTACTTAACAAAAGGGACAATGAATGCAGTAATGTGTTGATATTATAAATTGTTTCTTGGGGATGACCTTGGTTAAATGTGTATCTAAAAGATGATTTTTTACTGTAACAATCTGGTATCTGAATGGGTTTCTAAAGCATTGCACAATCTTGCAGTTAAAAGTTGGGTTTAAACAATTGTTTAGTTTGATTTCAGATAGTTCATGCTAGAAAACTTAAATACTTAGGATAAAAAATTAAAGAGTTTTAATTTTGAACTGGGTAGCCTGAGAAAATTTCACTAGGTATTCCAGTGCATTAACTTGGGCAAAGATAATAAATTATGATATGGTGGTATCTGTTCCCCTCAGTGTGTAAGATTTAAAAAAAAAAAAAAAGGTGCTAAATTAAAATGTTGGTCTGGCTTATTGAAATGACATTAATTAGCAACAGTCTTGGGAATTTTTAGAGCTTAATTTTGGATATACATGGTAGAACTTAATACTACTTTTACTACTTTAGGATCTTAAGAACAAAGAAAGTGGCTTAATGATCCTGAAGAAATTTATTCTGTGGTAGCTTTTTTATTATTAAGATCCTATTTTCAGTTTTGTGTGAGCAAGTTTTTCTAATGTAAAGAGATATAAAGATATAAAATTTTGAGAATTACATCTTAAACTTGCATCATAATTTTCAACATCCAAACCTGGAAATTATGACTTATAGCTAAAATGCCTTAGGCATGAGGTTTCTGCTCAGAATTCCAGTTTTCCCAGTTCCTTCCAGACCTCAGCCAGGACTTAAGCTGATATGCAAATAAAAGAAGCCTGCAGCACTCAGCAGGAGACAGATCTCAGACCCAAGGGAAAAAAAAAAAAGATTAAAAGTGTCTTTTTACCTGAACTCAAACTAGACCCCAACCAAAAAGTAAATTATATGGTATTTACTAATTACTGGCCAGTCATCTTTTTTAGGACTCTTGCTTTTTCTTAGATTCTGTATTTTTTTTTTTTGAGCTCATGATTTTGGTCCTGCAGACGGGTTAATATTTTCTGATCAGTTCTATTTTTGATCAAATGTGGAGTTTTTAAACATTGCAATGGAGATTTCACCTGAAAAAGCTACAAGGCCTTTACTATTGTGTTATGTGTTACGCTTGTGTTACGTGTTGTATGTCGGTATGTCTGTATGTGTGTATGTCCATATATCCTGCAGTGATATGACAATTGACATATGAGGAGTGCTCATGAAAAATTTAAAAATGGATCCAAATATCTTTGATTCACGTGATTCAAATGGTTCAATTTAAATTTGGTAAACAGATAAAAGTAAAGATGTCTTTAAAATTAAGCTTATAAGTTTTTCTAGGTGTTCAAAAAGACCCTAATAAAATGTTGATGTCTATGAAATAATCTGCTTAAATTCAGAAATTTACAAGTATTGTTTCAAAATGTGAACAGAAAGAGGTTAACAGATGGAAAAGAGAAACTAAAAGGTTCTAGATATAGATTTAATAGAGGGAAAATGTGTTTCTGGATAAGAGAGTCTATATGATTAAGTACTTAAGAGGGTTTAAATAAGTGATAAAAAAAGGTCTGTGTAAGTTGGCTATATATGTAAGTTTTTGAGCAAGTAATCTTAAAAAAATTAAAAATTATACAACTATGGTTAAACAACAACTGTTATTTTTCAATACTTTTCTTGTGCTCTCTTGCTCTGCATAATGAAGTTCTTTCAAACCCAATTTCAGAAAGTTTCTAATCAAACTTTCAACCAGCTTCTGCTTAGGCACTACCGGCCTCTGATGACTGATGAACCCCCAACATCTTCAAGAGAACAGTTCACTCAGTGCTGAAGCTCACTACCAGGCACGATGGAATACAACGGACATCAGACAGCGGGAGACAACGAGTTCGGAGAACCTCTCAATCTACCATTCTGGGTTCATGAGTCTTTATGTCCTTCTAAGCCTCCTCATGGCCCTTGGCCTCTTTTCTGTCAGTCCCCCAACATGGAACTTCTGCCAAAAATTGACCTTTGCTTTAATTTTTATCTTCATTCTGTTTTTATTCGCTCTGATTTTCTTCAGGTGCTGGTGATGCCAACATGGTGCCTAAGGACTTCTTCTTCCTACCTCCTTCTTCTCTGCAGTGGCGCGAAAAGTTCCTGCCCGTGTGAACTCTCCAGCTGGCGCCAATCTCAAATCTTGCTGGCGGAGAACCTTAGCCCCAATGAGAACTAATTCCTGGGCTCCGGAGCTGATATCTGGAAGAACTTACCAATAAACTGGTTGCCTGCCATTTATCTAAGCCCTACCATCTCCCCCTTAGTTCTATATAAGCACACAGCTTTTTGCAAGGTTAATTATGATACTATTAATATATGTTCATATTTTCCAGGTATACAAGTCTGTAAGGTAGAAGCTTCAAAAGACCATTGTATTAAGCTGGTGTTATAAGGTTGTATGGTAATTTTAGGCTTAAAAGAAAAACATGTTGGAGATTTATTTATATCATTTGTGTTCTACAACTGGACTTGTTATCAGTTCCATGTTACTTTTTACACTGAGATACAATTTAAATGTATTTTTAAGTTAATGAGAGCCTAATCTGTGTAAAGGTTTTATTGTAAAACACCAAAGTACTTTGCTACTCTTCTATAAAAGGTTAGAAGTTTTCAGCCTTTAATTCATGTTTTAGATGTGATATTATGTTGTGTTAGTTAATATCAATGTAAACTTGAGCAACAATTTATGTAGGCTTTGTAAAATGATGTCTAAAAAGCAAAGATCAGCTTCAGAACTATAATATTTAAGATTTATGAAGAGCCCCGCCTTACTTCAGATAAGACTCTATGTCCCACCTCATGTGAAAGAGACTATGAAAGTAGGCCAGATTTCAGTACATTTAAAGTTGTGTCCAAAAGTTGGTTTTTGCCAAGTTTACTAGGATCTCAAACAGGGGATTATGATGTATAACCCTGCCAGAATTCAAGGTAGCTATTACATAAACTAAATATGTCTTTACCCTAGTTAATTTTAGTTTGTAGTTTGCTTATAGATGGTCTAAGGATTGCCTGTTAATGTTTTAAAGAGGTACTGCTTTAAGAACACACAACCTGGGTCAACTTAAGATAAGGAGTTATCAACTACAGGATAGAGAGACAGACATTAAAGCCCAGTGCTCTTAATATAAGGCTGTTAACTTATTTGCTGGATGTTTAAGATTAAGTTTTAAAATTAAAGTTAAATTAAAAGGGCCAAGAAAACCAATATTTGGCTCTTTCCCTCTGAGTCAGTCTGAATCAGGGAATAGTGGACTTCTCCAAAGAGCTTTGCAACTCTAGGCCACATAACCTCCCGGTCAGGGAGATTAATGAGACCAGTGGAGGACAGAAAGTCAATCAGTGCATTTGCTATGAAGAGGAGGGTCATCAGAGAAGGGAGATATCCCTGATGCTTCTGAGGGAAGCTACATGGTCAAGCAAGGCCTGGACCCATCCTAGCGCAAATGGCACTAGCGGAACTGAGAAGCTGCTGTAAGTTCCCCGAGGACTCCCAGGGAAACTCAGTGGACTGTTAACAATAGATAGAAACAAAAGTCAGTTTGACTTGCTTCATCTTAAACACTTAGCAAAAACAGTCAAAGCCAAAGCACAGCTGTTCCTGGACATTTTAAATGATAATAATAGTTAAATGTAACTTCCATAAATAAGTAAACTGGAGGCTACAAAAGAGATTCTCAGACAGGAATGCCTGATAACTATTAAAAGGAACTGCCAGAGTAGTTTTTAGTTTAAGGACCACAGATATTCCTAACCTACACAGGTAGGCTTAATGTTTGCTAGTATGGTTATCCAGCCCTAAGTAACAGAATTAAAGATTTCTCTATTAGACACAGAGGTCATACTAGTAAAAGGATTTTGCAAGATCAGATGGCATTAAATTATTAAACTGTATCTTAAGGGAAATGACATCTGTAACCCTAAATGTTAATTGTTGTGTTTACATCCCTGACATTTCTGGCAAGGTGAAAAATATCCTTAAAGATTTACATGCTCAGATGAAGCCATGTACTCAGCAACTTTGTCATGGAAACAATATCAGCTCCTGGTTCTTGGTACTTCTTGGTAGAAAACATTGTTAGTCTTTGTCTTTGCCATTATACTCATTGACATATTCCTGTGCTATGGGATTTATTGTTGCATCAATCTGGTTCCAAAACTAATGAATTCTTGTTTCTCTTATAGACCACCCATCACTCAAATGGCCCTCCAGCCTATTACTTCTCAATCGGACTTTTGTCATGGACCACTCGATAGACCCGATTTTAAAGGGGGACTCCAAACTGCTTGCCCCACACCGTCCCTTTTCAGCCTGAAGAAGCCAGAAAGATCCTCTTCGCCCCCCTTCCTTACAGCAGTGAGGAGTTCCCAAATTAGAGGGGGGAATGAAGCCAGATTTAAAGTTAGGTAGTCAGTGTAGTTAGATAAATCGGGGTCTAATACCGAGTAAAATCTGAAAAGGAGGCCACGCTGAGAATGATTCCAGGGAACACAAAACAACTCATGAAATGTGAAACCCTTCAATAATTGTGATTCATTACTTTTAAGATTAAAAGTAGTCAGAAAAAGGAGTGGGGAATGTAAGGGTAAAAAAAATTGAAGTTAAAGTGTAAAATACCAGGTATTGTAAAGTTTCTAAGCTGCAAGGACTGAGTTAAAAAATAAAGGACCAGGTATTGTTAAGTTCCTATGCTACACACAAAACCTGAAATTCCTGTAGCTGTTAGGACAATACTGGAACTGCCCAGTAAATATTCCCCCTGACCATCTGGTTGTTTAATAACCTAGGACCCTGTGTGGCCTGGCACGTAGGCATCGCAGGGCCTAAACCAATCAGTTTGAATGTACCTCCCTCCTTAGAACTCACCTATCACTCCTGCCCAACCTGTTCCCGCCAATGAATGTGCTAATCAAATTTGAGAATTGTTGTTTGATTTTCCCACGGTGTATAATGATTTGTTAAAGGAGACTGTGATGTATGTAAAGTCCCCGCCCTCCCCAAAAAGTGTACTTAAGCACTGCTCAACCCCTGCTCTGGGCTCTGGGCTGCTCTCCCTTCTTGAGCACGGAGCCCCAGCATGCTGGATTGGATCCTCAATAAACCCCATTTGCTGTTGCATGAGCCACGGTCTCTTGGTGGTCTCTTCCTCCGAAGTTCGCCGGACCCTTACATGAGATCAATTTGATTCTGTGTGTTTTCAAATCCTTTCATCTTAAAATAATCAGAATTCCATAATTCTGCTGTACCATGTGGCCTCAATCTCATATTATGTGGATTTTGGCAAATTCCAGAATCTCTGTATACATCTCAGTTTCCTCATATAAAAGATTCAGGAGGATGGTTGTGAAGAGTAGATAAGAAAACTCATTAGCAGTTTAGAATCATGCCTGGCATATAGTACTCAGACCCAAATTCCCTTCCCCAAAGCCACCAAAGTAAAGACAAAAAAATAAAAAAACTTATCTAAATAATAAATAAATCTAAATAATGAATCCAGCCTTTCCAATTCTTGTAATTCTTGGGATTTAGTCGTGGAAAATGTCAATCTTGTTTGGTAAAGTCTATTTGTTGTGCCATTCATAAATTTGGCACATAACACTTACCATTTTTTTCCTTCTAGTTTTCAGTGCCGGTAGGGTTTCATGGAGTAGGATGTGATATTTATGAGGGGAAAACAATCCATGCTCAAATTAGGCAACATTTGGCAGATGAAGAGACTTTTGAAGTCTTTTGTAGTATTGGCACACATTGCTTATTTTAGATTTAATTAGGACTTCAAGAATTTAATTTTCTTAGAAGTAGTCTTCTTAATGTCTACATCCGAATACATTATTCTGCAAATAAAACTCAGCCTTTTGGGAAAAGTTGTGTTTTCAGTGTATTATACTCTAAAATTGGCTTTCTGCACAGTTTGAGGAGTAACTTAGAAAATTTTAAAGGTCTATAGAAAGGCTTCACTTGTTCACTTTCAGATGGATAGTTGACTTATTTAATATTTAGTGCTTTATTTTAGCTAGCAAAATTTTAAGTCTTTATATCTCAGAGTGAGTAAACTTGTTGCAGAAATTCCTCAAATGTTTAGCAATGATGAGAGGCGAAATGCTATGAAAACTGAGTATCAGATAAGTAGCGTAATTTGAAAGTAACATAATGGGAAACTGAAATCTGTAGTCCTACAAAAACATATGTGCCTGCTTCATAGTTAGTTCCTTGGAGTTGTTATTCTGTACTCAGAAGGCTTGAAAGTCAGCTCAGAGAAAGGAGATCCTTGAGGTTACTGTGGAGGGACTGTGCTGGGAAGCAAAGAAGTTCCACAAACCAGGCCATGGTGAGATGGGGATCATGGAGACTGGCCCGGCCAGGAACATCCAGGGGCAAAAAGAATAAAGATCTTCTCCAATGTCATGCAAAGCCATGTCTGACCCTGAGTCAAAAAGAAAAGTGAGCTCCTTCATGTGCATATATGCATAATAATAATAAAAGAAATTCCACTGCTGAACCAGAAGAAGAATTAATGAAAGCTCTGCAGGAAAAGATGAAGAGCCATTAGTCAATGGGTCCTAAATTCCAGTTAGGAAGGGACAACTGTAAGGGTCCGGGGAACGTCAGAGGAAGAGACCACCAAGAGACCGACTCATGCAACCTCAAAAGGGGGTTTATTGAAGAATCCAGCGCGCTGGGGCTCCGTGCTCACTCAACAAGGGAGAGCGGCCCAGAGCCCAGAGCAGGGGTTGAGCAGTGCTTAAGTACACTTTTTGGGGAGGGCAGGGACTTTACATACATCACAGTCTCCTTTAATAAGTCACCATACACCGCGGAAAAATTAAACAACAATTCTCAAACATGATTAGTACATTCATTGGCGGGAACAGGTTGGGCAGGAAGGGTGGGTATATTCAAACTGATTGGTTTGGGCCCTGAATGCCTACATGCCAAACTGCACAGGGTCCAGGTTATTTATCTACTGGACAGTCCCGGGAATTGTTTTAACAGCTACAGGAATTTCAGGTTTTGGGTGTAGCATAAGAACTTAATAATACCTGGTCCTTTACATTTTAACTCAGGCTTTGCAGCTTAGAAACTTTACAATACCCAGTCTTTTACACTTTAACTTCAATTTCTTTTACTCTTACACAACAAGTTCTGGAGTGTGATTGCAGAGTAAGGAGGCTATAGATAACAGTATTGTGCTGTGTATTTCAAAAAGCTAGAAAAAAGAAATTTGAATGTTTTCATGACACAAAACATTATAAGTGTTTGAAGTATAGATGTTTAACATAATTCAGATGTTTAACATGCACATAATGTATACTTGTAATGAATTATCACACAGTAACAACATAAAACAATTTATGGTCTTATGTATCAGATAAAATAAATGTAAATTTTAGAAAAGCATGACCATACATAAGGACTTGTGCTGCTCAATATCTTTCTATACTATTTCCAACTCTCATCAACTCATCCTTACTGGGGATGTGATGTTCCTGCTGCCCTGATTAGGACCCCATCAGAAACATTATTTGATCTTGTTCAAAGCACAGTATCTTAAAACAAACAAGCATATAATTTTCTTTATCATGAATATTATTAGACTTAATTTTTAGAGCAGTTTTACATGCACATTCTATACTATAATTTCTCATTTTCCACAACAGCTGTACTGATTTATCCCTGCCAGTTTTCCTTACTTTCATGTCTGCTCTGTCTGATATTAATATACCTACTCTGTTGTGTTTTTTCAGTTAGTGGGATGATAATATATCTTTCTCCATTTATTTCTTTTTAATATACTTTGTCCTTTTATTTAAGCTTGTTTGTTATCAACAACATAATGTATCTTGTTTTTTGATCCATTTTGGCATTATCGGTTCATTGATGTCAAAAGTGATCTCATATATATATATATACATACATATATATGTATATATAAATATATATATTTGTAATATACAAATATATATATATATATATATATATATATATATATATATATATATATTTGTTTTTGTTTTCTATTTGTTGCCCTTGCACTTTGTTCCTATTTTTTCTTCTACTCTTCTGCCCTTTGTGAATTTACCTGAGCATTTTTATGATTTTACTATCTCTTTTTTCTTAAAATATTAATTGTACTTTAAAAAAAAACTATTTTTGGTTATTCCCTAGGGTTTGAAACGTCCACTTTCAAATAATCTTATACCACTTCATGGGTAGTTGGGTTCCTTCTAATAACAAAGTTATTCTAATTCTCTCTCCCATCCCTTATATTATTGCTGCCATTCATTTCACATGTGTGTTGCGAGCCATGGCCGGTCAGAATGACACCTGGCATTTGCCAGAGGGAATGTTTGAAAGGTGACACCAGCGAACCATTGAGATGATGATTTGAGTTAAGCTATATATAATTGCTGTGATGCTGGATTGATTGTATTGTATATTTGACCTTTACTGTCGGGCAATGGGGCCGCTCTTGCTGCCTTGGGCACCCACTACTTTGGAGTTCTCATGGGGATTCCTGGAGTGTTCCCATTGGTTGGGGAAGTGCCGGAGGAGGGATTTCTGGTGTGGGGGGTTGCTGGAAAGGCCACACGCATGCGTTCGCGGGAGTGCGGAGAATAAAGGAGTTCCTGTTTTGAACCTACAAGGCTGTGTGGTGGCTCGGTTATTTTGTGCCCAGCCAGACTGCGGCACATGTATATAAGCAGGCATGACGTCTAGGCCACCAAGTACTGACTAATCAGTACATGGAAAATGATATTTTTGGGGAGACTCAGTATTTGTCTCTGTATGTATGGACAACATGTAATAATGGCAGATTGATGTTGCAAAGAGGGAGTTCATACTGCTAAACTCAAGTGTAGTCTTCCTCTCTTCACCCTTGTTACTGTATTCACATGCCCATCCTGTTAGCATTTGGGTTGCTACCAGATGTGTAAATCATTCTATCCATAGATTTTATTTATTTTGGGGGGTAATTCTTCCATTTCTAGTGTGCACTCATAAACATGATCTTTGTATTACTTAATACATGGGCTGGAACAACATCTTCAGATATGAAATATGCTTCCTCTGATATCCAAAAAGAACTAGCAAATGTTATACTTCTATCTTGTTGGTTAGCAATGCAATAATGTCACAAGCCATCCATGGGCTGTGTGTGTGATCTATGTGCATTGTAGCTATATGCGGGGACAGGTCTGGCATTGCCAGAAAGTAGAAAAATTATTTAATCTATTTAGATCTTTTTTCTGCCTTCTTTCACATTAATATTATAGATTTTAGTATTGCTTTATTCCTATTATTGACTTAATAGCTATACCCTTCTTTTTGATATTTTAGTAGTGGCTCTCATTTTTATAAAAAATAATCACATGATATTGTAAGGGTCCGGCAAATGTCGGAGGAAGAGACTACCAAGAGACCGACTCATGCAACCGCAAAAGGGGGTTTATTGAAGAATCCAGCGCTCTGGGGCTCCGTGCTCACTCAACAAGGGACAGCAGCCCAGAGCCCCGAGCAGGGGTTGAGCAGTGCTTAAGTACACTTTTTGGGGAGGGCGAGGGCTTTGCATACATCAGAGCAAATCATCATGAGGCGCGGGAAAATCAAACAACAGTTCTTAAACGTGATTAGTACATTCATTGGCAGGAACAGGTTGGGCGGGAGTGATAGGTCAATCCTAAGAAGGGGGGTACATTCAAACTGATTGGTTTGGGCCCTGAGATGCCTACGTGCCAAGCTGCACAGGGTCCTAGGTTATTAAACAACTAAATGGTCAGGGGGAATATCTACTGGGCAGTCCCGGGAATTGTCCTAACAGCTACAGGAATTTCAGGTTTTGGGTATAGCATAGGAACTTAACAATACCTGGTCCTTTACATTTTAACTCAGGCTTTGCAGCTTAGAAACTTTACGATATCCAGTCTTTTACACTTTAACTTCAATTTCTTTTACTCTTACAATATCTGCAAGTGTATAGCAATATTACATATTAACTTACAATGTAAGAGTCTTACAATTTCTTACCTCTACTTCCTATCTCTCATTCTTTTAGTTATTGCTGACATTTCTTTCTTTCCACATATACCACCACAATGCATTGCTATTTTTGTTTTTAACAG